TTTCAAGACAACCCTTTATCATGTATTTCATTTATGATTATTTGTTAGTATCCAATAATATTCCAACTCTTCGTATATCTCAAACACCATTATTTCATGCTAAAGGAGCCTTTTCTTGAAAGGAGATTTTTTTAATTATAAGGGATTCAATTTGAGATCATTATTTAAATCCTCAGGAAGTTGCCTTTTAGAAGACTTTAATTAAAAATGAATTTGATTAGTATAAACAACAATTCAAATTCCTATCCATTTCTTATATTTTTCATTATTTCTTATCTTATCATATCTCTTCATCTTATTCTTTATCTCTTAAGATAGGGAAGGTCTTCAATTTTAGTTTATGTAGGGAATAGTTATTAAGATGTCATAAAATCTTTTATAAATTAATATTTAAATTAAATTGAAATGATACTATTTATTTATTTTCAATAAAGGTTAGCACAACGAAGAAGCTAAAAGAAAGAGTGATAAATTATTACTCAAAGAAAAATGACTTAACAAAACTTCATGCTTATTCAACTATCAAAGATATTATGAAAGATTTACTTAATTTATTATTATTTTAAAAAAAATTTGGTATTAATAGTTATAATTAATAGTGTTATTTATTGGAAAAGATATTTTTAATATCAATAAAAGTAAAAAGGATATGTCAAGAATTTACAAAAAAAAATTAATACTTAATTAATTAATCTAAACTATAAAAAAAGTTAAAACAATTAATTGATTTCAAAAGTATTAGATATTATATGATATTATAGAAATGATTAAGATTGGTGGAAATAATTATATCTTCCTAATAACCATCTTATAATTAAATCATATTCTTGATATAATTAAAAATATATTATAGAGTTAACTAAAAGTGGTGATTAAATAATTTCTGATGATTAAGATTAAATTAAAATTGAAGAAATTAATGATGAGAGTGAAGATAAAAATGGATATAACATTAAAGAAGCTGAAAGATTATTTAAAGAAGGTATGACAAATTGATTTATAAATTAGAAGTGGCATTAGATGATTTGAAAAAATATTAAGAAGCCATTGAATGTTAAGACAAAGCAATTTCCATAAATCTTAAAAATGATAATGCGTGGTTTATCAAAGGTAATTAATTGTTTAACATTATTTTTTAGGATATTCATTTCATTTCATTTAAGATTGTACCAAATTTAAATAAATATTAAGGAGCCATTGAATGTTACGACAAAGCAATTTGCATAAATCTTAAGTATGATATGGCGTGGAATAACAAAGGTAAATTATATTATAATTCAGGTTATGCCTTACACCAATTATAGAAATACCCTGATGCAATATTATGTTACGATTAAGCTCTTTCTATTAATATTAATCTCTAAAACTATAACGAAAAGTTAATTAAAACTTAAATTTATATTTAGCTGATTCACTATTTGAATTAAGGTAGAAATCAGAAACCAAACAGTTATATTTGGCTGCATTGGAAAACGGATCAAATGACACAAATTATATTTAGAAATAACTATCAAAGTTATGAAGCATTATTATACATATCATATAATAATATCAAATATGTTATACTAATCAACTGTCCCTTTTTATATTGCAAGGATTTTCTAATTTTTATAACATATTATAAACTGACAAATTAAAGTTTATAAAATTTATTAAATTTATTTACAGTTTAAGCAGAAAAGAATATTTTTGCTTGATTTCAAATTAATATAATATTAACCACAATCAAAAGGGGTTATTATTTTAAGCTATTTATTTCTTTTAAATATTAATTAAAGTAATTGTTTTCCTTCCTTATTCCTGACCTTAAAGCAAACTTAGTTCTTCTTTTTTTGATATTACTGCAAAAAGAATTAGAATGTAATATCATGATTACATTATTCAACCAAGCATTCATAAGATATAGAATCTTTTTTTTTTAAAAATAAGATTCTACATCATGCTATAAAAGAAAAAGATAAATTATTAATATTAAGGTTATATCAAAGTAAAGATCATCTAGGCTAAAAGTAAAATTGAACTTTTGATTGCAAAATATTAAATTCTTTAAATATAGGCTGCTAAGACCTGGAATTAAAGGAAACTATTATTTAAGATAATTTATTTGCCTTTAAATGAAAATTATTAAAAAAATTAAATCAAAGTTCCCTCCCCATCAGTCTAATTTTGGATAAAATGATCACACAACCATAAAGAAATGATATTTCAGAAAATCCTCTATTCTTATTTGCAAAAGGATTATGATAGATCAAATAAAAATTTCAATCATAATTTATTTTAATTCCTAATGGGCGAGGTGTCTTAAATGGATTAAGAATTTAAGTAAATATACGACATTGTCTGCGAAATTTCCATCTTAAAAGTTTTTAATTCCCTGGGATTAAACTGATATAGTTACTTTAGTGTAACTAAGATTGTTAAAGATGGCATGAACAAAATCTATTTAATGTGGATGTGACTAAAATAGACATCATTTTTATGAAAAGAAATAAACATTCCTATTAATTATGAATTACTCTTCCTCTATAATTAATTTGCACTATATTGAAAATCTAAAAATTGCCCACAAAGCCTAAACTAATTCAAAATTCTTCTAGAATGAAAAATCTTTTTATAAACTATAATTAATTAACGTAAGATTATATTATTTCTTTTTCAATTTATTTTTTTTTTATTTATCCAAATAAATTAAAAAGTATCCATTATTCAGGAAATATAATAAGCTATTCCTATTCCTCTTCTTCACTTCTCAATATTTTGGTTCAAGATTTGCTTATAGGCTAATCTTCTCTATCCTTTTAGTATCTCTTCAAAAAAATTTGAAAAGGGAGTTGGAAAATAAATTTTTCCTCTACAGAATTAATTACTCTTACCCAAATAAATTTTGAGTTAATAACAAAAAAATTTTTATCTTCTATTTATAACAATAAGAGCTTGCTTAAGTTTATAAAAGTTATAAATGAAGATGAAAATTATTTAATAATTATTCTCAAACTTTTTTTTTCCAAATGGATTTTATTTTAATAATAAAAATTTTTTATATTTTGAGTGTTTTGAAGTCAAATACAAAAAAAATTACTTCAAGGTTGTCCTAATTTAATATATCATCATATTGATATTTTTGGAGAAACTTAAAAAAACTTAATAAAAATATTCTATAATTTAAAGAATAAGATTCCAATTCTTCATAAGAATAGATAAGCTTATAAGCAACAAATTTAAAGAAATAATAAAAAACAAAGATTTATATTTAAAATGGGATAAAAAAAAGCTAGCCTATTTTTGAGTAGCCAAATCAATCAAAAAAACCTGAAAGGAAAATTTTTATTTTATTAAAAAAAAAGATCCATAATCCTGTTTAGTTTTTTTATAGTTATGATTAATTTAAAATAATTATTATTATAGTAATCAACAGCTTTTGGAATTCTCTAATAGATATATGTTAGATAAAGCTATAATGGTAAATAATGCAGATCTATTGAAATTTGGAGACTTATTTTTTCTGCAGTATAATTGATAAAAAAAATATTTATTTTATAAGTTTCTTCAAAATATTTGTGAGAAGCCTTTTGGTAGAAGAGGAGTTTAATTTACATATACACAGCATAAATGAATAAGAATTTCTGATGACTTCTATCATAATTTAAATTGAATCAATGAAATTCACCTATTGCTTGCATATCATTTTAACTGATCCCCACTATTTATCAATAACAAAAATTTATATCACAAAAAATTCAATTATATCCTGTTAAGAGGTTTTTTTCACAATGAATATTGATTATTTTATTCGAATGAAATGAAAAACAATAAGTATTTTCCTCTGTATCAATATGAATAAGGATAGAAGTAATTTAAAATACTTATTGATTTATTTAGTAATGATACCTTGAATTTATTATTATCAATTTTTATAACAATGTAATGATATCATTGATATATAATAACATTTTAAATTAATATATTTAATCAATATTAAAGTCTATAAAAAGAAAATTTTTATAAATTAAATCTTATATTTTTCCCCTCTACCTTAAATACTTAATCTAATATGTAGCAAACAAATTATTATTATAATAGTATTAAATAATGATATATACAATAGAAATATCCTGTGGGCAGGTTTGCTTAACACAATAATCTTACGAGCAGTTATTAGTTTTGAATGCAAAATATCGCATAGATGAAAGTTCATTGAAATATGTTTAATTTTCACAAATACTTCTATGATTTGTTAAAGATATTCATTCGCCTCTTAGAATATTTGAAGTTAGAAATATATTCTATTTAAACTATTCTATTTATAAGTTCTTCAATTTATTTTTACTCATTTATTTTTCTTGAATTTCCAATAAGTGTTGAATATATTTCATCAATTTTCAATTTAGTAATCTGAGATTTTATTATCTTATATAATAATCCTGTCTATTAAGCATCTTTAAATTTCTTTAAAGGACAGTGATGAATTTAAGTGTAATAAATATTTTTTATACATTAAATACAATAAGCTCTTGTAGAGTACATACTATTTAAATCGGATGCCTCTGATAGGTGATTTGCAATGCTCAGATATTACACATTATTAGTTATCTTATTAGATTAAACACTCTTTAAAGATATAAAACTTATGATAGAAATAAAGTTACAAAGTGAATGTAGGAAAGTCTAATATTAAAAAACCTTATTTAATTTCTTGACACATTTTTATATTAATTCTATTTATACTTTTCTAATTTTAAGGCATAGGATTGATTATTAATGATAATCTTAAATCACCTTCTAAAAATCTAATAAAATCAAATTGTAATCACAACCTTTAGATATATTTCTAGAAATTAATTTGCAATTCGTAATTCAGTTTAAATAAGGTATTTAGGGGCTGAATTTCTCTCAAAAATACTCACAAGCTGGTTATTGAGTTTGTATCTAAGCTAGTTAATCGATTATCAATCTTTGCTATTGAGAAATGAAATTATCAAAAATTTATGATGTGATTGAAATCGTTCATATCTTATTAGTAAAGGCAATTGCGATGATTTGTTAATAAATTACTTTTTTTGTAAAAAATTTCCTTTAAATATTTAGAAGTCATATTTAAAAACCTGAAGGAGAACTAATTAGTTTAAATTAGATATATTTGAACAAAAGTGAAAATTGATCTTTTATTCTCTTAAACTTAAAAGGAGAGGATCTTTTTATTTGAAGCGATCAAGAAAAATTACTTCATTAGATCAATCAAAATCATTTTATTATATAAATAAAAAACCTTATATTTTTAATCTTGAAATAACTCCACTGCTTAGAAATTGATGCTTTTAGAATGAGTAAGAATCTTCAATAAAAAATCAATTCTTCTAAAGTGCTTATTTTTTAATAAAATGAAANGTATCGCATAGATGAAAGTTCATTGAAATATGTTTAATTTTCACAAATACTTCTATGATTTGTTAAAGATATTCATTCGCCTCTTAGAATATTTGAAGTTAGAAATATATTCTATTTAAACTATTCTATTTATAAGTTCTTCAATTTATTTTTACTCATTTATTTTTCTTGAATTTCCAATAAGTGTTGAATATATTTCATCAATTTTCAATTTAGTAATCTGAGATTTTATTATCTTATATAATAATCCTGTCTATTAAGCATCTTTAAATTTCTTTAAAGGACAGTGATGAATTTAAGTGTAATAAATATTTTTTATACATTAAATACAATAAGCTCTTGTAGAGTACATACTATTTAAATCGGATGCCTCTGATAGGTGATTTGCAATGCTCAGATATTACACATTATTAGTTATCTTATTAGATTAAACACTCTTTAAAGATATAAAACTTATGATAGAAATAAAGTTACAAAGTGAATGTAGGAAAGTCTAATATTAAAAAACCTTATTTAATTTCTTGACACATTTTTATATTAATTCTATTTATACTTTTCTAATTTTAAGGCATAGGATTGATTATTAATGATAATCTTAAATCACCTTCTAAAAATCTAATAAAATCAAATTGTAATCACAACCTTTAGATATATTTCTAGAAATTAATTTGCAATTCGTAATTCAGTTTAAATAAGGTATTTAGGGGCTGAATTTCTCTCAAAAATACTCACAAGCTGGTTATTGAGTTTGTATCTAAGCTAGTTAATCGATTATCAATCTTTGCTATTGAGAAATGAAATTATCAAAAATTTATGATGTGATTGAAATCGTTCATATCTTATTAGTAAAGGCAATTGCGATGATTTGTTAATAAATTACTTTTAATATTAAAAAATTTCCTTTAAATATTTAGAAGTCATATTTAAAAACCTGAAGGAGAACTAATTAGTTTAAATTAGATATATTTGAACAAAAGTGAAAATTGATCTTTTATTCTCTTAAACTTAAAAGGAGAGGATCTTTTTATTTGAAGCGATCAAGAAAAATTACTTCATTAGATCAATCAAAATCATTTTATTATATAAATAAAAAACCTTATATTTTTAATCTTGAAATAACTCCACTGCTTAGAAATTGATGCTTTTAGAATGAGTAAGAATCTTCAATAAAAAATCAATTCTTCTAAAGTGCTTATTTTTTAATAAAATGAAATATTCTCAATCATCTGAACTTTTATACGTAAAGTTTTATGAAACTTCAGCTCTCTTCTATTAAAATTGTAATAATTCTTCTTTAAATACATCTCTTAGTCTTGCTAAAATTCGATCTTGCCTTTCTCTCATTTTATTCTAAAAATCTAATGATTCTTTCTCTAATTTTGACACATCTTCAATGACATTTTATATTTTTTTCATAACTTATTCTGTTTCATTATTATATTACTTTGCTCTTTACACTTCTTTATCATTATTATCATTTATTTATATTAAGTCATTATCTTCACTTGATGAAGTAGATTCTTTCTTCTTATAAATGTTATGGGCCTATTTTTATTGTTGGATCATTTCCTCTAACGGTCCTCCCCAATTTATTGCTAATTTAAATTTAAACATTACAATCTGATTAAGGCATTTCCTTAGCCAAAACTAAAACTATATCTTTATTTGTTAATATTGTGTTAGGTTCTGGATTAGTGCAAATGTAAGGAACTTTATTATCTGTTGCTCCTGCCAACCTATATAATCCTAAAGGAACTATTTGTTTCATTTTAACTAAATGATAAAATAATTTTTAAAATGGTTTATTTTAAAAAGCCTTTGGAACTGGAATTTGAAATAGATTACTTGATATATCTTTATCTTCAGAAGTAAAATCTTTTGATTAACTCATTCCTTTGCTTTGATATTATAACATCGCACCTGTTTTTTCATTTTCTTTAATATTACCAACCAGTAATTAATATAATACTTAAACCAATGCAGGATTGTAAAATGACTAACACAGAAGACCATCCATCACTGAGGAGAAATAAATTTAGCCAGATGCAAACAATGGTGTGTGATTATAACCATACTATTTCATTAAATCATAATCTTTATCAAATAATAAAAACTAAATATTTGAAGGGGATACAAATTCAGTAACAATTTAAATGTGAGGTTTTAATCTAACTATATTTCGATATTTAAATATGGTTTTTGCATCCAATAAATCTTCCTGATCTTTAGTCAATTATTATTATTAAACTATCTAATCATTTTCTTGAGAATCATCCTCAAATTTGGCAGTAGATATTTCTTTTGGAGATAAAATCACTACTCTAATTGCTTATTCAATGTTTGCTCTTATTAAATCTCTTTAACTCATTGCTGTACCTTTAACAAAATATATTTCTGGGAAATAACAAATTTGAGCCCATTATTTTTCACTTGGCTCCTAATCATTCAAAATTACGATTGGAGGGTAAGTTATTAAATATTTAGATCTAAGTGGCAATATAAAATTAATTAAATTTGCAACGAGTCCACAAAGAATAACATGATTTTAAGCTAAAATTGAATCTTATAATGTTTTAAAAGTAACATCTTTGAGTCCAACTTTTTCATTTGTTAGATGACTAGTCTTTTCAATTTTATTATTGTTAAAATCGAGTTGAAGCCAATTTCTAGCTGTATCTTTCTAGAATTTTTCTTTTATCTACATCTCAGCTATATCCTTTTACTAATCATCGCTGTTTTCTTCAATTTCTTCTAATTAATCAAATTTTTCGTTTTCTTTTGGATGAATTAGAGTGTCTTAACTTGGATCAAACATATCAGTTTTAACCCAACCTCTTTAGTTTTTAAGATGTAGAATAACATTTTTTGAATTTTCATTTTTACCAGTATTTCCCTTCTTTTAATCTGGTTCTGCTTAGGAAAATCCAAAAAGAGTTTTCACATTTTGAAAGATTGTTGGCCGTCTAGGTCGAATGTTTACTGTTTCTTCTGATTCCAATAATCTTCTCGTTGTACCATCTGATTTTATTTAATTCATTTTATCTTGATGACTCTATTTATATATGGAAATTTCATCTGCAGTTTCTTTATCCTTACATATTATATAACCCATAACTCTGTAGTTTGGATTTGATGGTAATATAATATCTCCAGGGTTTAATAAATTTTTCTCATAATCATTTGGAGAAGATATTTCAATTCCAAATAATATGACTTGAAACTATTTATATAAAATTAAAACAGTTTGTGTAAATGATTTACCTCGAAAAAAATTTGGAAGCAAAGTTTTATAAATTTCAAATCCTTAACCAATCCAGTATTCATTTAACCATTTTTAAGGAAGATTAGGGGGATTTCCAGAAGATGTAATGAGATTTGAAATGAATGCAATCAATCCTGGGCACAAGCAAGATTTTGCAAGAAGTGACATCTTTAATTCCTCAATGCATATCACTTAATCAAATTTTGTTTATTTATTTAAAGATAAAAAATAATGTGTTTTACCTTCTTATCTTAAAATCTGCATACAGAATCTAATTTTTACTCCTGTAGTGTTATGTTGCTTTAAATAGCTTTTAATTACAATGGCTAATAAAATTGTTTTACTATCCTCAGCTGTTGGGTCAGAACTTTATTTATTGCACATAATTATTATTGCTTTCGCTTTTTCTATTTAGCATCTTTTAAGATCTTTATCTAAATGAGGATCGCCTTAAATGTAAATTACATTCGAATACTCTGGTTATTAAATTAGAGATTCTAAATTTACATCTGGCCTTTAAGGACATAAAATAATTGCATGCTTTTATGCTAATCCATGATCTTCATGAAATAATTCTTTAAAAAAGTTTTCAGCTGCATTCAAAGAAATTGTTCCTAAGATAACAATATGTGGAACAGCTTGGCTTGATTTATAATTTAATCTAGCATAGTATGATTTAGAGCTTAGATGTCGGATTAATTGTCCAGTTTAATACGGAACAAAAGTTAATGCCAATAGGACAAGTATAATTATTAAAACTCTTGATATTGCACTCGAAAACTTATTCTCATAACCCATTGTAGAAATAGTAGTCATTACAAAATAAATAAAGTAATGAAATTTAAAATGCAATACAGTCTCTAAAAACAGAGAATTGAAATGCAAAGCACCTGCAGCACAAAGGACCAAAGTTGCTGTTGTAATCATTATCGATGTTAATTGCTTATTAACTTCTGAATCTAAATATTTTTTCATTCGGTCAAATTCAAGTCCCCTAAATAGACATACTAAGTTAGCGAACATATTAATTTTATCATCATCTTCAATGAATAATTTAAGAGTAGAAATTTTAATAATAAAATAAGGAAACAATGATAAAATTGCGATTATTGATTCTGAGGACATAATAAATGATTAAAAATTTTTAGTTGCATATAATTTGAAAATCCATTCACTTAAAAGTAAAAGATGAAGGATAGTATTAAAAACAGCCCATGTAGCATTTTAAAATGGTTTTGGTTCATAAGTTGAATATATGTAAACAAATATTAAAATAAAACTAATAGACATATTGATACAGTCTATGATTAGATTAAATTCATCTCTCTAAATAAATTAATACAATTATTATTTAGTTTATCTCTATTTATGCTTAAATTCCTTTTCTTCATCATCACTCATTCCTTTTATTTTTTTAATTTAATTAATTATATATATTATTTTTAAAGAATTACTTTCAATTAACTTAAATTTTTGATTCACATAACAATAAATTGAAGAAAAGAAGTAATTAATTTCAAATTATAATTATGAATTGATTTAATTTTGATAGATTAATAATATCAATTCTTGTGCTTATTGACAAATGTCATAATCATTTCCAAAGCCGCTTAAGGTTGATCTGTAGGTATCATGTGTCCAGCATTATTTACTAATTATAACTCAAGATTTCCTGCTTACTTGTAATAACCGACAATTTTTTCAGTATCTAAAAGTTTAACAATTTCAAAATCCTTTTTTTTGTATTCATCAATTTTACTATATTTTAAATTGTAAAGCCATCTTAATGTTCCAGGAGTTGAACAAATTAAATCGTTCTAGCCACTAAACACAAACATTGGAATCTTTGGTAATATTTCTTCAACAGTTTGGACAACATCTCTTAACATAAAATCATAAGACAAAGCCTTCTATACTGGGCCATCTGCACCATTACTTATCTTATAAACCCAATCAGCACTAAGTCCTAATTGATTTAAAATTAAAGGTTCCCTCAAATAATTTTAGATATTGATTTTAGCATTATTATAGCTTCCGTACTATAATACATTATAAACGTTCATTCCTCCATCATATTGACCTATAAGATCAAGTGATTTATCAAAAGCGGCTCTTGCATTTAATGAGTTTCCTTTATTTAGTTCATTCAATCCATAAACTAGAATAGAATCTATTTGAGCTCTTTCTTAAACATCAATCAATCCTAAGTTAAACGAGTAAGATGCATATTCAGCAATAACTGAATATGGATCTGTAAAAGGATCTCCAATTCCAATTCCTTTTAAAGGAATTTGATCAACAGCATTCATATTATAATCTAATATTGCCTTAGCTATGGTAGGGACATACCTAAATTTAATAATTATTTACTTTCCAGCATAACTTTCTCCGAAAATAAACCAAGTAGATTTTTATAAACCAGGAATTGCATTTTTTTTAACACAACCCTCAGGACTTTATAAAAATTGCTATAAAGCAAATAAAAATTATTATCCAATTTATTTTTAATTTGTAGGAACATCGGATTGTTTTTCAGGATATGCTAAACCTGCTCCAATAGGTTAATCTACAAATATCACATTATACTCTTTATTCCAAGCATATATATTTTTTCTAAATGTTCCATTTTCTTACATAATTAATGGTCCTAATTCCATAAAATTACCTAATTAAGATGAGGATCCAGGACCTCCATTAAGCCAGATTAATGTTGGATATTTAGAAAGATCCTCTACTTAAGTTGCTTTTTCAGAGCCGTAAAAAATGAATCCTAAACAAGACTTGCTATTTTCTATCACACTTAAATAGCCAGAAAATATTATTTGATTTTGGTCAAAAAGTGGGTTTAATTTCTGAGCATCAACTTTAGTGCATTTCGTACCATTTGGCAACTCCCCTATGCTTGGAAAGACATTTGTATAGTCATAAGGATCTTCTTTAAAGGATAAATATCCATTCACAATTGTTATTGTTGCAAATAAAATGATATTCCACATTTATATTATTAAGAATTGAAATATATTTCTTATTATTAT